TTGGTTGGTGTGTATCAGAGCTGGTGTAGGTGTCCTTAAGTGTATGATAGAGTTTTATGCTGCTCCTTGTTCACCCAGGAGGAGCAAGTGAAATAAAGAGACTAAGACTCTTGCTACAAAATTTTCTGGTTCCAGTTTCTAACTACAAATAACTACAGCTTTAGCCAAGGTGTTAAATGTGACCTGGGTATCCTTTCCCTATAAAATGGTAAGGGATGAATTCCAAAGCTCCTGCCTGGTTTAGTGATGATTTGAAGCACAAGTTTACATTTTATGTGACTATAAAAAGACAAGGTCCTGTGTTTGCTATGAAACTCTGATTAATTTGATGCAAAATATTTCAATGAGCTCATAAAAACATTAGGGAAATTTGAGATTGGGCATGGTGGTGCATGCTTTTAATCCCAGCACTCAGGAGGCAGAGGCACGTGGATCTCTGTGAGTTTGAGACTAGCCTGCTCTACATAGTGAGTTCCAAACCAGTTGGGGCTACAGGAAGACCCTGTCTCAAAAATACCAAAAAAAAAAAAAAAAAATAGGGAAATTTGATTTATTTTAAAATTATCTGCTTTATAAATTGCTTTTCAAGAAAGTGTAGATACCATCAGTGTTAGAGTATCGAGGGTCTTCGAACAGATCTAACAAGTTTCTGGGTTATAATGAGGCATTTCTACAAAGTTCTAGACACAAAAGTGCTTACTGATTTGATTATTGATTAGACATCCTGACGTATCTTGCCAAGGAAACAGGAACACAGATTAATCATGCCAATGATTTTGGAAAGCACTTTCATTATTATGTTTATATGACTTTAATTTGACCAAATTAAATGTAATTTACTGATGTTTCTAGATTTTAATTGTAAAAATAACATATGCTATCTGAAATATCTATTTCACATATAAATAATACAATACAATAGGGGAATATACAGAAAATATAAAACATAAATCATGATTTCATCGTTGCTCACATTTTGGTATATTGTTCCAGTTTTTTCTCTGCATATATTTTAACTGTCAAAATCATTGTTAAGGTTAGAGCTGAGCACTTCACAGGTAATTTAATCTTCTACACATCATTTGCAATAAATGCTTACAATTTTCCTATTGTTGGAACATTTCCAACATTTCATTCTTTCCAGATTGCCATTAGAAATGCTCTAATGAGCATTTTTTACATAAATCTTTGTCTATATCAAAGATTCGAATTTGGGATGTATTCCTGGGAGTGTAGTTCCTAAGTCAAAGAATATAATTTCTAGGACTCTTGAAACCTATTATCAAATTGCTTTCCAGAATGGTTCCATCTGCACCAACAGAGCACAGACATGCACAGGCCCCAATTCCCTTCCAGGATTAGGAATAATCTGCATTCTGTACATAGAAACACTATACAGAAAAGCATGCCCTCACCTTCTTCCTGCTTGCATTTTAAAATCATTAATAGAGAGTCAGTGTTTCAAGTTTATCTATTTGTATTTTCTCTATTTATAAATTATCCATATGATCAGTTTTTAAAATTGAATTTTAAAACAATTACACCTCAAGCCACTTAACTGTAATTACTTTAGTATCACTCCCAAGAGGAAGAGAGAGCACAAGACAGTGGAACTATCTTATTAGAAACTGTCATTTTAATATTTAATTTCCTTGAGTTTTCAAACACTACCAAAAGAAAGATGAAACTTTTACATTATTCAAAACTGGAACACTGAATTTAAAAAGACTGAGGAACATTTCTTCAAATGATGGCTTTGGAACTTTGCATTCTAGAGTAGGAGAGGATTCTGGGGAGCTTTAGTGAACAAGCGCCCAGGCTGAGGGGGAGGCGGTAGAGGGCTTGTGTGAATGTGAACGAAAAACCTTACTACACACTGATGGCAAGCACAACCAGTCATGCATGTGCTCAGCCTGGAGGGTCTTGGGGGACCAAACAAATGATGGGGTGGTCTTGCTGACATATTTGTACTTCTAATGACACTGAGACTTGTAAAACACTTCCCAAAGGCCCACAAGCCCTTAGGCCCACATGGGCAGTATTTAGCTTTCCCAAGAATTGATACTCAAATTTATCTCATTTATTCCTTCGACTTCACTGGCTTAATTTTTTGGTGCATGCTTAGTGCTTATTTTACAAAACAGTCTAGGATTCTGGCTATTTGTTTTTGCATATAAGATGAAGCTGTGGACTTTGTGCAGGGTTAAATGGCACCGAGACTACTATAATAATCAGACCTCCAGAACACTCACACCTGCCCAAACCCAGAAGTAAATAACACCTAAAATGCCTGCTTTCTTGCCCTTCAGCTGTGCTTTCTGCTCTCACTCGGTCCTTTATGTGCCTGCTCTTGTTAACAGTCCACACTTCAACCAGTGCCGAAACTCAGAACTGGGGATAATTTAGTGTTGTGTCATTGGCACAGATCAGTTAGTGTCTTGGTGGACTGGACTGCTACAGACTGAGTAGCTTACAAAAACCAGAAACTGGTTTCTCAGACTTCTGGTGACTAGAAAGCCAAGATCAAGACACTGACAGATTCAGTATCTGCTTCCTGGTTCATAGGTAACCACTCCATCATAGGACAAAACAGCGTTCTGTGATCTCTTCTATGAGGACATTATTTCCATTTATTTATAATTATAATTTTAATTTCTTGCATGTATGTGTGTGCATGTATGTGTGTGTATCTGTGTGCCATGCATATGTGTGTGAATGTGTATATGTGAGTCTGTTGGTATGTATGTGGTGTGCCATGGTGCACACGTGAAAGATCAGAGGACAGCCTTGGGTATAAGTCCTAGCCTTCTACCTGGCTTGAAACAGGGTCTCTCTGTTGTTTGCTATTGCATACACTAGGCTAGCTGGCCTGAAAGCTTCCAGGGACTCTCCTGTCTCCTCCTCCTGTCTTGCCATAGGCACAATGGAACTACACACGTGAAAGATCAGAGGACAGCCTTGGGTATAAGTCCTTGCCTTCTACCTGGCTTGAAACAGGGTCTCTCTGTTGTTTGTTATTGCATACACTAGGCTAGCTGGCCTGAAAGCTGCCAGGGACTCTCCTGTCTCCTCCTCCTGTCTTGCCATAGGCACAATGGAACTCTGAACTATAGATTCGAGTTCCGAAACCGATTTTCTACCTTTTGTGTGTGTGTGTGTGAGAGAGAGAGAGAGAGAGAGAGAGAGAGAAGAAATTAGGAAGTTGTCTTTTTTTAGACAGAGTCTTACTATTAGCCCAGGCTAGCCTTGAATTTATGCTCCTCTGGCCTCAGCTTCCTGAGTGCTGGGATTACAGGCGAGTGTCCCATGCCTGGTTTCAGTGCCTGATTTGACTGCTATGTTTTCCCATGCTGATCTCCAGAGTCTCAAGTCTATCCAGAAAACAGGTGTCACCAAAAAGTAGCTACAATGAAAGTAAAATAAAACCATGCCTCCCTCGGGTGGGTGAGGTGGAAGAATGCCTGGGGCAGGAAAAAGTATGGAGAACTGACCAGCATTTTGAAAATGAAACTGGTTTTCTGGCCATGAGTACAATTAATGTAGGAATGAACGAACGTTGTCATATATTGCTAATAAAAAGCGGCTATGAGAAAGTGTTATAGTATATATCAAAACTCTAAGTGGGTATAAATGTCAGGCAAGAAATTCTGCTTGGAAATTTATTTTGAGAAAATAATGACAGATCTGTGCAAAGATAGAGCTGTTATATTAAATGGGGGACCAGTTAAGTTACAATCCATACATACAGTGTAATACTCAGCAGGCGGAAACTGCAGGAAGCACATACAATGACAAGAAAAACATAGATATACAGCCTTAAATTGAAATAAATTATGAAGCATTGTAAATAGTATGAATATTATCAAATGTTTACTTTAAAGTATCCACATGCATGCAAATATATGTACAGTAAAACTGGAAAATATACTTTTGTGTTGATCCACTTTCTGTACTTTTTGTACTATTTGAATTTTTCTAGAATGATCATATATTACTTTTTTTTCAGTCTTTTTGAGACAAGGTCTCCCTGTAGCCCCATTTGGCCTGGAACTCACTATGTAGACCAGGCTAGGCTTGAACTCACAGAGATCTGCCTGCCTCTGCCTCCCAAGTGCTGGGATTAAAGGCATATGCCACCACGCCCAGCCATACATTACCTTTATAATAAGAAAAACATTCACTTAAAAACATTATTTTTTTAAAGTTCACCCTATCTACTTGAAAAGGAGGCAGGAAGTATGGCTTTAAATTCTTCACCCCTTTCTTCACTGGTTACTGTATTCCTGAAGGCAGGCAATGTTCAAATGCTGCTGTTTGAGACTCTGCTTATGTTTCTAAGGCAGGCACAGAACCAGGGCTGCTGGAGCACTGCACTGAGGGTCGGTCCTCAGACACTCTGAGGAGTCTTCTCTTCTCCTCATCAGTCCCTTCCTTCTGTCTTCCTTTCCCACACAGTTTCTCTACTGGGGCTGTTTATATAGCCCCTCTATTCAGCAGTCACACTTTCACACCCATACACACACTAACACACACACATATACACTCAGACTCACATGCACACACACACACACACACACACACACACACACACGCACAGAGCTCTGTAAGTGCAGCTCTATCAGAACTAGCAAACGACGTTTGGAAGTCCAGTGCGGAACTGAAGAAAAGACCCAGGAAGGGTGTGGTGATCACCTGCTTTCATTCCTGTGACCAGGAAAAGCAGGAGATGTCTCAGGCCCACAGTCCCTCCTCTGGAAATGGAGCTGCAAAACAGAGGGCAAATAGTCAAGATTTTTTTAAAGACCTATATCAGCAGAGGTGAGGGAACTCTACAGACCGTGCACCTCTTGTTTTCTCTAAAGCGGGATCAGAGAAGGGTAGTTTCATTAGTGAAAATAGTTCATCCATAACCGAAGCAAATATGAAAAGCAAAACAGAAAATACCATTTAGGGGAAGTAATATTAATTACATGTATTTTATTTTTATTTTCTTCACACAGTTTTGCTGGTGACTGGAATATATTCAACGAATATATTGACGAAGAAGGTCAAAAGACCCAAATTCAGTAAGTAAAATCAACATTCCTTGCTGGCTCTGTCTCCCGTGCAGAGGGCTGTTACCCTTGTTTTACATGATGTGAAAGGTAGTTTTTTGGCTTGATTTGGCTTGGCTTGGCTTGGGCTTTGTTTCTATGTCAGTTGCTTTGCATTAAAACTAAATAGTGATGAGTCTTATTATCTTCCTCATTCCAGAAAGCATTTGACATGAGTCCTGACTTGAAAGTAAAACAAATGTAGTTCTACTCTACCTGAAAAATTCAAAGTATACATATAAACCAAGCTGCTCTAAGGGTCTATTGCCAATCCAGAATAGGTATCTACCTGAGTATTGTCTCAATTCTCCAAACCAGAACATTTTCTGTGGCTAATGCAAAGGTCCAACAAAGTTGTCTGCTTTCCAGCATGCCCTGGAGACAAGGCAGAAAGACAGGGAAAATGAAATGGATAGAAAAAGGAAGAATCCCTCACCCTTACCTCTGACATCAGTCTAGCTTACATTTCTAAATGACTGGGATGTCAGCCAACTGACAAAACCTAAACTAGTGTTAATACTGCTTACATAGCCCACTCTGTTTTCTGTCTGAGGATGGATATGACGATGAGACAGGCCACCTCACACTCTTGCTGCCATGCCTCCCCCTCAAGGCTTAAGCCAAAATAAACCCTCCTTCTTTAAGTTGTTTCTTGTAGGTACTGGGTTATAGCAATAAGTAATTAACACAGAAAATTGGCACTGAGGAGTGGAGCTGTTGCTGTGATAAGCCTGACTACATGGTTTGTAGGCATTTGGAACCAGTTTGTAGAAGGAATGCTGAAGAGTTTGGAGCTGTGTTCTAGTTACTTTCTGTTGCTGTGATAAAATGCTCTGAACAAAAACAACTTAGGGAAGAAAGGGTTATTGGATCTTATACTTCCAAAGGGCAGCCCATCTTTATAGGAAGTCAGGCAGGAAGTCAGGGTAGGAACTGAAGTATGGACCATGGAGGAACACCGTCCTCTGGCCTGTGCTCAGCCTACTTTCTTATACAACCCATGACCACCTACCCAGGTTTGGCACCACTCACAGTAGGCTGGGCCCTCCCACATCACTCAACAATCAAGAAAATACCTCACAGATATGCCCAGGGGCTAATTCAATAGGGGAAATTCTCCAACTGAAGGTCCCTCTTTCCAGGTATACCAAGTTGACAACCACAGCCAACCTTGACAAGCTGTGAGGCAGAGAAGCACTAATATGCTATAAGCTGAACTTCATGGGCCATTCTGGTAGGAGTCTGTAAGATCAGAACGCTGAGAGAAATGTGCACAGTGGAGGCCCAGCTCACAAGGTTTCAGACAGGAATAATGACTCAATGAAAAATCAAGCTAAAGGCCATTTACATTGCATTCTGGCAAAGAATCTGCATTCTGAAAACTTGAGTCAGGCTAAATTCAAAAGTAATGAGCTAATTTACTTGGCAGAAGACATTTCAAGACAAGACAGCATTCAGGCTGTGTCAAGATTACTGCTAACAGCTCTTATGCGGGTCAACAGTGAGAGACAGCAACAAATAAAGCAGAAAGTCATGAAAAGGTACAATTTGCCTTGGAAAAGAGCCTGAGTAGATTTAAAGTTGCAGACATACAGCTGTAATTGTTAAGGGATTAGCACCATGAAACAGAAACCTCCTTCTCTTCGCTGGGACAATAGGAAAGATGCCCTGAGGGTAAGACCCCACTCGTCAATATTTCCAGCCTATGGAAATCTTGAACTGGGAAACTGGGAATGCCTCTCAAGGAGTTCCCTATTCCAATGCCTAGGAAAGTATTTTCCCAGATTAAGCCACCAAGGCACACAGAGGCTGTTACAGCTGGGGGGTGGGCAGGCAGACTACATCAAATTAGCAACAGAATTTGGTAGCATTGTCCACATGGAGCTGGGTTTTTAGGTATGCAAAATCCAAGTGTGGCACCATGAGGGCTGTGCCAGGAAAGCTCTTGAGGCTAAGCAGTGTGTGGCAGAATCAGAGTCCTTGCAAGGAGGCCCTGGAAGACCACTGCATGAAACTGGGAATGTGATACCTAAATAGCAGTGAAGACTCCAGAATGTTCAAAGTGCCAGGACCGTGAAAAGTCTGCCAAGGAAAGCTGCAGACACAGAGCATGGAGTGGAGTTGGCCCCAAAGAGAGGCTTTGTGTGCTGCAGGCAGCAGAGCTGGAGGGGTGAGGTTACCTAAGCCCTTTGAAGCCTAGATGAGCACATGATTAGACCCAGAAGCCCAACATGGCAACAGGACTTGATCCTATGATTACTTGTTATACCCCCATTCCTACCATTATATGTTGAAAGTATATATGTTCGTTTTGTTTTTTTACAAAGGCTCACAGTTAAGTCAATATCTTGTGTCTCAGAAGAGCCTAGGCTTTTGAATAGTGTTAGACTGCTAAAGGCTATTGAATTTGGAACAAATACAGTTTGCATTATGAGATGGCCGTGAGTGTAGCAGTGACAAGGGGGCAGAATATTTTGGTTTGAATGTGAAATGTCTCCCATAGACTCACCTGTTTGAACACTTGGTACCCAGTTTTTGGTGCTATTTTGGAAGGTTGTGGAACCTTTAGGAGGTGGGGCCTCACTGGGGGAAGTGAGTCACCCAGAGCCAGCCTTGAGGTTTTATAATCAGGCTCCACTCCCTGTCTGCTCTCAGCTTCCTGACTGCAGACGCAATGTAACTAACCACCACCTCACACTCCTGTTGCCTTGCCTTCCCCACCATTATGGGCTGTGTATTCTCAAAGAGTGAGCAAAAATGAGCACCTCCCTGAAAAAAGATATGAAAGAAAAAAAAAAAGAAGAAAGAAAAAGAAAAATTGCATACATAGAAACAACACTTCTTTTTTTCTGAAAATGATCTTAAAACAGCTAATGAGGGGCTGGAGGGATGACTTGGTAGTTAGGAGCACCAGCTGCTGTTCCAGAGGACTTGGGTTTGGTTCCCAGCACCCACATGGTGGCTAACAATTGTCCAGTTCCAGAGGATCCAACACCCTCTTCTGATCTCCATGGGCATTTCACAACATGGGTGCACTTACATGCAGGCAAAACACTCATACACATAAAATAATAATAATTTTTAAAAAAACAGCTGATGAACCATGTTTAAGGCTAAAACTACATGACCTATGAACTTAACTTTATTAGCCCTCCTATTCCACCCGTAAACCTGAACAATGCACACTATAAAATACCTTACAATTTCATTTGTAAAAGAAAATTCAAGATAACATAGATAAGTAAACTAGTTCATATTTTTCACTTAATTTTTCAACTTTGTTAAATCTTTGAACTTGCTTGCAAATTACATTTTTTAAAGCAATGTAACTATCACAAAATCATAAACATAGAGCTACTGTTAAGACAAAGACACTCAAGTGCAGCTGTCTTTGGAGAAACCTTACCCACCCCTTGGGTATGTGCTGTCCTTTTCTTAACAAGCTCCAGCATTGCTTCATACGGACTCCTCTTGAAATTCTTTGCTATGATGAAAGTTAAAATCCAAGCCATATCTGAAAGGAAGTCCCTAGAAGGAATTCCTCAGGCTGCACAGCCAGCAGCATTGGACATTTCTCACTCTCACTAATGTGGATTCAGATGGTAAATCACAGAAAAGCCTGTGATATTTCACACTCAATCAGTGGAAAGAAGAAAAATAGATTTCACTTTCAGGTGGTATATCAAGATCAGATGACAAAAAATTCAAAACAATTCTCACTTGTGTAATACTGAAATCTCTTTCCCTTAAACATAATCAATCTGTGGTTTTATGGAAGCTCCAGAATTTGGGATTGCATTTCTGCCATTTTGACATGGCTCCTAACTCATTGTCCAAAATGGCTGCCTCATCTCCATCCATTCCAATTACTCAGAAGGGATGAAAAAGGCACTTACCAGTACCTCTTTAAAAGATACCCAGAAAGGTAGATATGGTAGTTCTACTTAAAGAGCTTTGGTCAGTAAGGGAGAGAGGGAAATGTCTTGATTACCAGGACACAGATGGGAAATTGTATATTGTACATTGTGAGTGCACTGGGATTTCTGGATCCACAACTGCAAGCTTGACAGAGGTTTATAGAAGACCATAAAATAAAGGTTTTAGACAAAGCCAATGTTCTGTGCTTTCTACAACTGAGGCTTTGTTTATAGGCATTAAATTTAAATGTGCTGAAATAAGCAACATTAATAATTTGAAATGAAAGAGATTTACTCCACACAACTACCCCTTTTTTCTCCTTTTCCTTAAAACCTTCCATGTGGGATTTCCTGCTGAAATGAGACCAAAGGCGAAGCCATTCGCAGTCTAGGCTGACATGCTAAAAAGGAATCAGTTGTTTATTTGTTCCTGTCAGGATCAAGAGCCAAGAAGATCAGCCCTGGGGCAGATGAGTGTTCAAAACAGTGATTGGGTTAATATGGAGACAAACACACACCCAGCATAGACTCCTTTGGGCTGTTTCCAGTATCTTCATTAACTTGCACACAAAAATCATGAAAGGTTCTATGATTACCATAACAACAGTTCTTGGTGACTATGAAAATCAGCAGAGTGACCCAAGGGCAAACCCCTTAGAGAGATCTCAGATGGATTGAATTTCTGATATGCTAAATTCTAGTTTTATTCTTAAAATCTCCCTTGTGATGCAGCACATTTGAATCAATAAATGCCTGAAGTCTCTTCTCTAATTAGAAACTTTGGCACAATCATTAAATAAGGGAGGAAAAAGACACAATGAATGTAATAGAACACTCCCAAGCCAGGGACATATCTGATTCTTGACCTCAGGAGTATTTGCAAATCATAGTCTAGAGCTTGAAGCCAAAGTAAATTTCACTTCTCCAATTCAGTGTTGTCTGCAGCTGGAGGAGGTGACTGATGGTAGAAAGGCACAACATTCCTTCATTTAGGGGGCCAGCCGACGGGGCACAATTTAGACACCCAATCACAGGTAGAATCAAGATGAGCCTTCA